TCATTTAAGTCTCTGAGAGCGCTAGTTCTCAGCTGGAGTTCAGGATCCATGTGGAGGTGGGCCTCTCTATTTTTCTGTAGCTCTCAGACTTCTTTTTTATATTCTTGGCCATGACAGCCAGTCCTTGGCTGAGAACTGGGGTATTCTTGGGAGCACCTGCTCTAAGCCCTCCAGGGCGCCCTCTTTTCTGCCCACTTTGCAGCAGTTGCCCAGCATTCCTGGCCAGCCTCTGACACCCCCCAGGGTTCTTCGTCCTTGGTACCTGCCGCGTAAGTGCAGAGGCCCCACCTGTCACCACGCTCAGGTCATGGGCACTGAGTGAGTGGGACATGAGAGGACAGGCCAGATGTTGATGCTCACCTTCTCCTTGCAGGTGGTGGTGAAGTTCATTAAGAAGGAGAAGGTTTTGGAGGATTGTTGGGTCGATGACCCGAAACTGGGCAGAGTCACTCTGGAGATCGCGATTCTGTCCCGCGTGGAGCACGCGAACATCATCAAGGCAGGTGACTGTGTCCCGGCTGACAGCCCTGACCCTGGTCACACGGTTGCTCGGGTCTGTTGTCTGAAGGTGCTGGCCGCACTGCCGGCCCTGTCTCTGCCCAGGTCCTGGCTGTGTTCGAGAACTCGGGCTTTTTCCAGCTGGTGATGGAGAAGCACGGCTCGGGCCTGGACCTCTTCGCCTTCATCGACCAGCACCCCAGCCTGGATGAGCCCCTGGCAAGCTTCATCTTCAGACAAGTGAGTGCGCTGGGCGGGCGTGGAGCGTGCAGTGCCACCTCGCTCGCTCCGTGGCTGAGTCTAGCACTTGTCCTGGGGTTTCCTGGAGTGAGTGCACTTTCAAGAAGGGGATTGGAAGGTCAGGCACAGAGTGAGGGTACGAAGGACAGAGAGGCTGTGCTCACAGACACGCAGCCCCACAGAAGGAGGGGCTGTGCTCACAGACACGCGGCCCCGCAGAAGGAGGGGCTGTGCTCACAGATACGCGGCCCCGCAGAAGGAGGGGCTGTGCTCACAGACACGCGGTCCCGCAGAAGGAGGGGCTGTGCTCACAGACACGTAGCCCCACAACTGCTGCCTCGGGCTGGAGGGAGGCCCCGGTGTCCCTGCTGTGACCTTTGTTCAGGGCTCCTGCAAGCCCTGTGTCAGCACCTGTGCTGTGGGGGGAGTGGGATGCTCCCCTGTCACACCTCAATGTGCACAGAGAGGCGGTGCCTTACCTGCCTGCTCCCCGTGAGCTCCACGCCCATGGAGCCTGCTCGGCCAGGCGGGGCTGGAGCCCGCACGCCCTGCCGTCCTGGGAGCAGCCAGCAGGGCCCGCAGGAAGCAGCAGCTTCTGCCAGCCAGGTTCTCTTCCACCCTCGGCAGGGCATCGCTTGGTGTTAATGGTCTCAGTGAGACTTCCCATGTTCAAAGTCACATGTGTTTTCTGTCTCCGACTGGACCTTGACTGCTGCGTATGTGTCCATGTATGTATTACGCATGCAGGCATGGATCTGTGCGTTTATATGTGTATGCACGAGTGTACAGCATGTGTGCTAGGCAGGCATGTGTATGTGTGCACATGCATGTATGTAGATGTGTATATGCATCAGTATGCAGCTGTGTATGTTTGCACATATGTGTTGATAAGTATTTATTAAATGGGATGTAAGTTAATTAGTTGGGCTTAGTTAACCTGCCTTAACTACTGCTCCTGATTCAAATATATTTATTTTTGAAATTTATTTGTCCCATGAAAGAGAGTGATAGAGAAAGAGACAGAGAGATAAATAGGCATCCCTCCGGGCTTCACGCCATGCTCCTTTCCCAGGCAGCCAAGACCACAGGTGTGTGTGCCCATCATGTGTGTGCCTGGATGTGTGTGCCCATCATGAGTGTGCCCGGCATGCATGTGCCCATCATTTGTGTGCCCGGCAAGTGTCTGCTTGGCATGCATGTCCCCATCATGCGGGTGCCCATCATGAGTATGCCTGGCATGTGTGTGCTTATCATGTGTGTGCCCGGCATGAATGTGCCCAGCATGTGTGTGCCTACCATGTGTGTGCCCATCATGTGTGTGTCCACGAGTGTGCCCGGCATGTGTGTGCCCATCATGAGTGTGCCTGGCATGAGTATGCTCATCATGTGTGCCTATCATGTGTGTACCCATCATGTGTGTGCCCACCATGCATGTGCCCAGTATGCATGTGTCCGACATGCAAATGGAGGCCTTGGAGGTGAGCCTGGAACCTTGCCGAGGGCTTCACGTCGTGGAGTGCTGTGTCACTGCGGGGCCTGGGGCTGAGGAGTGAATGTGGGTGTCCCTAATGATGAGACCCTAGCCCAGCCGTGATGGCACCCCGTCGGCTGGCTTGGCTGTGCTGAGCTGTGCTGCAGCTGTGCATCCAAGACGTGGTGTGGACAGAGCTGTGGGGCACCGCGTGGCCGTGGACATCATACGTGTCATGCAGGCAGCAGGCCATGGTCGTAGCTGCCCTCAGAGTGGATACGTGCCCACAGCCTGTGGAGACGAAGCTCGATTTGGGCGCACCCCTGAGTTTACAGGGGAGGAAGGGCTGAGGCACCACACCCTCCTCGGGGAGCTGCCGGTGCTGCGGCGAGAGGCTCTGCTCTCGGCCGGCTTCTGGGCGCCTGCACTCTGGCGGTGGTCCTTCCTCTTGGGGCCGAGGGCTGCCGTGTAGCTCTCTCCTGGGCACCTCCCTCTGAGCAGCGGGCTCTCCCCACACCTCCACTGTGCGTCTCTAGGTCTGCATCTTTCCCTGGGATGGTTGTGGCGAGTGTGTGGGGCAAGTGGCACCAATGGCCCCAGAGAGCCTGTGGGCCCATGTGCGTCCGCACCATGCCGGCTGCACCACCTGGCACCGGGAGCATACCTGCAGCTGCTTCGTCTCCATCTGCCTGGCCTGGCTGGAGCCAGTGGCTTGTCCGTGGAGGCTAGCTGCTCTCCGCACCGCGCTGGCGTCCTTTTCCTCACCGACGTCCTGTTGCCTCCACTCTCACTTGAACTGCTTGCTCACAAAGCTCTCTGGCTCTCGACTGCAGCTGGTGGCGGCGGTGGGGTACCTGCGCTCCCAGGGCATCATCCATCGGGACATCAAGGATGAGAACATCGTCATCGCCGAGGACTTCACCATCAAGCTCATCGACTTCGGCTCAGCTGCTTACTTGGAAAAGGGCAAATTATTCTACACCTTCTGCGGCACAATCGAGTACTGCGCGCCCGAAGTCCTCATGGGGAACCCGTGCGTACCACCTCGTGGCTGCTGGCCCAGCTCTGCCTCCTCCCTTGGGCTTTGGGCTGACCATGCTCTGTGGCGTGAGATGGTTTTCAGTGGAAATGGCCCTGGTTTCACCTCTGTACCAAGGGGGCAGGCCGAGGAGGGCATCACCTTGGAAACGAAGGGGCAGAAAAGCTGGGACGCTTGTCGCAGGACACGGACGATGGCCCGGGCGGTGACGTGGGTGATGGTGCAGGTGATGGTGCAGGGCATGGATGATGGCGCGGGCTGTGAACGCGGGCGGTGACACGAGTGATGGTGCAGGGCATGGACGATGGCGTGGGCTGTGAACGTGGGAGGTAACACGAATGATGGTGCAGGGCATGGACGATGGTGTGGGCAGTGACGCAGGCGGTGACACGAGTGATGGTGCAGGGCATGGACGATGGCGTGGGCTGTGACGTGGGATGTGAACGTAGGAGGTGACATGAGTGATGGTGCAGGGCATGGACGATGGCGTGGGCTGTGACGTGGGATGTGAACGTAGGAGGTGACATGAGTGATGGTGCAGGGCATGGACGATGGTGCGGGCGGTGGCGTGTGATGTGGGCAGTGGCACAGGTGTTCTTTCTATCAGCTCCACGTATGTCGGAGTTTGACGTGGTACAGAAAGCTGTGTGAGAGGGAGACGTGTCCCGGAAGACAGCTCAGACTAGTGAGGAGGCCTTCGCTGGCTCGGGTTCATGGCCTGCCAGGCCCGCGGTGGCAGCACGGCGGTCCATGCCAGACCTCAGTGTGGGGAGCCATGCAGTGGCCATGGTTGGAGTCCCACCCACGGGCCTGAAAGCTGCCACGCTCACACACGAGTGCCCCAGCTGATGAGCTGAAGTGCAGGGAGGGGGTGCAGTGCAAGCAGGCCCTGGGGAGGCACCCTTCTTCCCTCCCACCTATGAGTGCTCACGCTGTCGTGAGCAGGAAAGTAGCTGATTAGGGATGATTGCCTACGTCCTGCCGTTGCCAGGCGGCATCCAGGAGACCCTCAGCAGGGGCAGTGCCAAGGGCTCACTGAGGGGGCCCTTGGCCAGGGGTGCCCTAGCTGACGGCCAGAGCCCTGACTCGTCTCGTCTGTGCTGCAAGCCCAGGGCTGGCCAGGCCTCTGCTCTAGCCTTGGGAAGAGTGGGGCCTGGGGGCGTGGCTGGGTCTGTATCTGCAGCCTGGGGAGCCACAGGGGTCGTCGGGACGAGGCCTTGCAGTCTAGTTGGGTCGTCGGCCCGTGTGGGTACTGGGCACAGAGTACCTTCTTGCCTGCTGGTCGGCATGGAGACCGGGTCTGAACCAGACTTTACTAAGTTGAAAACAGGTGTCAGGTGTTTCCTTCTACCCTGACCGTACTTGAGAGTGTAGTTAGGCTGATCTCCGTAACGATGTTTGCTCTCGGGGACGGGTGCCCAGAGTGCAGCAGGGGTTCCCCAGCCACTGCCACGATGGTCTGTGTGGTCCTGCGGGTCCTGTGGTTACTGTTCCCGTGGGCCGTTGTGTGGGGTCCCTCGTATGGGCCTGCTCAGTGCTGCCCACGTCGAGTGTTCACACGTGGCCACTGCTGTCCCCAGGCCAGGTCGCCGGCTCACAAGAGAAGCCCTCAGCCCCAGGGTGCAGGGAACCAGGGCTGTGCCCGATTTTCATCTGTTAGGATGTGAAGACCTCGAGCCACTCTCGCCTGCTCCAGCCCTTTCATGGCGCGTGGTATCAGGACCTGCTCGGCAGAATGCGTTTTTCTGAGTGGGGACTGTAGATTAGAAATAAGCATAAATAAACACAGACACGCAAAGACAGAAAAGTGATGGAGATAGCTGTGACCCTGAACCAGTCTCAGGCTTATTATTATTGGGCAGAAAATGGGGGACGAGGAGATGGGATGCAGAGCCAGTCTTTTTCCGATGTTAAACCTGCCGAGGGTGGGCGGGCACCTGGCGCTGTGTGGCTGCTCTGAGTCTCTGGGGTGGGTTCTGATGAACACGTGTGCCTTCTCTTACCCTGACCTTGCTGTGCAGCATCAACCACAGCACATAGCTAGCGTGTTCGTATGTTAATGCTTACATTGTCATGCAAACAAAGCTCACTGAACTGCATTTCTGCATGTCTGAAGGTCACCGTGTTTGCTTAGAATAGCCACTCTCTGCAGGGGGGCATTCGGCTTTCCCGGGCCTGGCTGAACCCGTTATGTGACATGACCAGACCTCCGTCAGCAGTAGAGCGTGGTGGGAGTGCAAGTAACCCCTCCCAGAGCCTCAGGGCAAGGAGGACTAAGGACTGAAGTGGCTTTCAGGACCCTTCACTGCCCTGGCCTGGCCTGGCCCATAGTCCTCAGTGTTGGAGACTGCCCGCCCTCTGGCCCTGACATATACTGTGAAGCTCCCTGGGGTGCAGGGCGGGGCTCAGGTTGCCCAGCCTCTGCCTTCGCTGTGCCTGCTCACCCTCCGGCCCTCCTCCCTTCCTAGTCCTGGTCCTGCTGGGGTGCTACCCTTGTCTGCGGGTGCCTGTCCATCCTGCATACTTTCCTGGCCCAGGGGCTCAGAGACTTTGGTCCTGATGCGGAGCCCATCCTAGGGTGCTGGGTCTTCCCAGTCATCCCGTTTCACTCTGCTCCATGGTGGGCACGTAGGGCCCTTCATCGGACTGGCCAGGCACTTGCTCTTAGGTGCATCACGGTAAAATCTCTGGTGTGAAGTTTGCCTCTGCCATCTGCGCTGTCGCACTGTCACATTGTCCAGGGCTGGTTGTTGTCCCAGACGGGTGCTCTGTGCCCCAGACACTTGCCACACCCCAGCCTCTGGCAGCCCATCTCCGCTTTTCTTCCTGGACTGGACCTCTGTGGGCTGTACCTGAGTGGATCATGCAGCGCCTGGCCTGCTGCTTCCTGTCCTGTTCTCTGGGCCCCTCCCTGCAGCACCCCTTTCGGGGCCTTGCTGCTCCGTGTAAAACGAAGACAGATCTTGCAGGTTGCTGGGTGGGTGAGGGCTAGGTACCTGGTACGGCATCCGCAGTGGCTGCACGAGGATGTTTAAGGTGACGTGAAGTAAGGGCAGAGCTGCCTCCACATTCCCCCGCAGCTTGCTTGTCGGCACACCCTGCCACACCCTCCTGCTCACGCTCTTCTCTGTGGCCACACTGTCCTCAAGCACCTGCCCCAGACCCGCCCTGGAGTACCCTCAGTGCCATCCCCTCCCTGGTCTTTCCAAAGGGCACCCCCTGCTCTGAAGCTGCCTGTGACTCCCGTGCCCTGAGTGAGGCTGAGTGACTTGTGTCCTCCTCTGTCCTCACCTCTTCCAGGAAGCCCTCCTACCCCCATGAGCTTGCTCTGCTTCCTCGGACCGTGTGTAGGCCACCTGGGCCTCACCTCCCTGCACATGGCACATGGTGCTGAGGGGCCGGCGGCGTGTGGGTCTCTGGGAAGCACTGCCTTGCGGCCTGGGGAGGAGGCCCGCTGCTCACTGGGCTGGCTGGGAGCCATGCACCCTGAAATGGCTCTCCTCCCCGCGCAGCTACAGAGGCCCGGAGCTGGAGATGTGGTCGCTGGGCGTCACGCTGTACACACTGATCTTCGAGGAGAACCCCTTCTGCGAGGTGGAGGAGACCATGGAGGCCGTTATACGCCCCCCGTTCCTGGTGTCGCAAGGTGATGGCACGAGTGGTGGGGCGGCGCTGCCCTGGGCCCAGCTCCTCCTGCCCATGTCCTCTTCCACGTCTGTGTGCAGGACACGCATGTCCATGCGCACACACACACACATGCACCGTTCCTTCCCTGTCCTTGAATGCACGCTCTGCACCCTGGCAGTGTCATTCCCACAGTGTCCCTGGCAGTCTCAGTGGCTCTCGTGAGAAACGGCCTTGATGTCTGTGAGCGTGGCCGGGCCGTGCACTTGGCTTAGGAACCCCATCATATGGCACGGTCGGGGTGCTGGAGAGGCCCGGCCCCAGCCCCAGCAGCCCATGCAGAGCCCGGAGGCTCTGGTCACACTTTTCCTTCCACCGGGTGTGGCAGGCAGCCCACGCACAGTGAGGACCAGCCAGGGATGGTGGATGTGGGTCTGGTGGCTGGAGAGGCTCGAGGTCTGGATGAGGCTGCCTCAGGGTCCCTGGCTGGGAGCCCAGGAGCTGGCAGGGCTGGGGGCAGTCAGGCGTCCCTGGGACACAGTGTCCTGAGGACCCTGTGACGTCCTGTGACTCCGTTCTCAATCATCGCTACCACTGCGTTGGGTGGTGAGGCGGAGCCCTCCTGGCCGTGTCCCCACCAGTGGGCATGCCGGGAACCTTGCGACATGAGGAGCCCCACAGGGCAGGGAGATCTGGCCTACCCTCCCCTCCAGGGACCTGGTCCTGCCGTGAGGCCTGTCTGGCCTCCTCTAACCTTCCCCACCCTCATGCCCTCACCCTGGGGGCGACGGCTTTGACAGGACACCCACTGGGAGTGTGACTCGCTCAGCAGCAAAGAGGGTCGTTACTGCTTTGCTGAGGTTCTGGACTCCTTGGGACTGATGTCTGCGGGCAGTGGGGGCTCCCAGGGAGCAGTGGCTCCATGACGCCCTCCGCTGGGCCCCAGCACGGCCCCACTGTTACTTGTGCCCCAGAGCTCACAAGCCTAGTGTCGGGACTGCTGCAGCCTGCCCCCGAGCAGCGCACCACCTTGGAGGAGCTGGTGATAGACCCGTGGGTGACACAGCCCGTGGACCCGGCCAGCTATAGTTGGGAAGAGGTGTGTCACACGAACAAGCCAGGTGAGAGGCTTCGGGCCGCTCCCACCCTGTGTGGCTTTGCTTTGGGTGAAGAGGTCCCTGGCTGCCTTCGTGGGCAGGAGAGGGATCTGCCCTCTGTGCTGTTATGGGCACGTGTCAGAACCTGGGGCTGGCTTGTCACTGTGAAGCGGGGCTCAGCTGTGTCCCAAAGTCCCCAGAGGCCACTGAGGTCCAGAGGATGGGCTGCACTCACTGGCAGACCCTGCCCAAGGGGTCAGGCAGGGGTTTGAGGAGTGCAGCTGATACCACCTGACCGGGCGAAGAGGGAGGGAGCCCACAGAGCCTGTGCCATGCCCCTGCCACTCAGAGCAGTCTCACCACACTGGTGTGGAAGGCTCGGGCCTGGAACCCCTGCAGTGCCATCCCCAGCAGGGACTGTTCTGCCAGGATGTGCAGCTGGGTTCCCCGGGGCACCTAAGGTCCCATCCCCAGGACTTCCTCTAGCCTGAGCACAGTGGTCTCTTTTCCAGCAGGTGACGCAGCGACTTCTCCCTTCCCAGATGGTGGAGGCTGGTGCACCTCCAGCCTAGGCAGCAGGAGCCCTGGCCCAAGCCTGGCTCCCGGGCCCCTTGGGCCTCCCGCCCAGGGGTGCCCCCTAATGGCTGCTGCTGCCCCCAGCTCCCAGGCCCTACGTGGAGATCAGGCCTTGCCGCCTCCTGGGAACTCAGTGCAAGCAGGACTCACACCAGAAAGAGCCAGGACTGCTGTTAGTTTAGCTTTGTAAACGAGGCTTGGCGTTTGCTTCTTACGTCCTCGAGAAACCATGCCACTGCTGGTTTCATGTATTAAAGGATTTTTATTTTGTGAGCTTCCGAAGCCAGTGTTCGTCCTCCTTCGTGTTTGCATACATGTACCCGTGGTCTGCCAAGTGACAGGCGTGTGGAGCTTGTCGAGTGTGGCCAGTGACCAGGCTGTTGTCTCCTTCCTCACTCATGGTCCACGTCGAAGCAGCTCTGTCGATCGCGTTACCCCGGCCAGCCTGCGTGGACTGCCGTGTGGGGACAGGTGCTTGGTCTCTGTGTTTTCCCACTGGGGCACCCCACTTGCCACAGTGAGCTGGCCAGACAGCTGGTCCCTTGCGGGCTGACCCTCCAGGGTGGGCCTGGCCTCCGAAGCTTGGTCTGGAAGGCTGGGGAGGGTGTGCTGCTCTCTGGCACTCCCTTCTGTCCGACACAGCTGTCTGGGCTCTGCAGCAAGACTGCTGTTCCCCAAGGGTGCCTGCCCGTACCCCCACATCCTGCAGCCTGCCAGCCCCGCCTCTGCAGGGTGAGGAGCTCCCTCCCAGGCCCCACCCACCAGCTATTTGCACACCTTGCCCAAGTCACCAGTTTCTCAGTATTCAGCTGCTGCCCCTCTTGACTCCAGCCTGTCCCGTGACAGCTGCTCCAGCACACAAGGCCCAGCTTCTGTCCCACACCTGTGCTACGGGGAGGAGAGGGGACCTTGCACCACATTGCCTGCTCAGGCAGCCGCAGGAGTGAAAGCGGACTGAGCCCCCATCTCCCCTCGGTCCCGCAACTCTTCCTCTGCAGGTACTGAGGCTCCTCCTGCCCATACTCCCCTGAAAGCCGCCAGGGACTGGGGGCAGGCTGCCCTCAGTATGGTCCTGGGTGGTTTCTGGCGGTCGTGTAGCGGCATGTGTGTTTATCCGAGGCTGCTCAGAGCACGGGTTATTTCAGTCCCATCTTACTAGGACAGCCCTTGAGAAGAGCTGCTGAGCTTGCCTCACAAAGATGAGGGGCATCATCGTGGGCATTACAGATGCAGGTTCAGAAGCGCACAGTGAACCTGAAGGCAGTGGCGAGGCCTGATGCTCCGAGAGCTTTTTTGAGTGAGGCCGGTGATTCCTTTGCATGCTCACATCGCACGTATCATGCAGTTTTACAGGCTGAGTTTTCAGCCAAGTGTGCAGTGATTGATAATGGCAGTCCCAGTTCTAAGAACCGATGCTTTCTTTTTTTGGAGAGGTTTTTGCAGTAGGGCGCGTGTGCTCGCCAGAAAGACAGCGAGAGACAAAGAGACAGAAAGCCAGAAATCACCCCCCAGGGGGGATGGCCATGCTGCAATCCCTTCTCCTCCATTCTCCTCTCGGGATCTTGGGCACGCACGCACACGCGCTCGGTGTGAGTTTTAAGCCACCGGGTCCAGGACTCAAACTGCGGTCAGCTACGTGGGAGTCCAGCGACATAGCCATTACATCAACTGCTGGTCCCAGAACTAATTCATTCTTAACAAGAAGATAATTAAAGCTCATCTGATGGGGATCAGCACATGGCATAGTCATATTGCTGGAGTCCCACCTGGCCAACTGCAGGCTGAGCTGGACATGGCGGCTCGAGTCTCCCTCTGGTTGTGTGCGTGCATGCCCAAGATCTGGGAGGAGAAACGACTGTGACTGTGATGTGGCCATCCCCCCTGGGGGTAATTTCTCACTTTCTCTCTCACTGTCTCTGGTGAGCACACGTACCCTAAGGGGAAAACCTCTAGAAAACCAATAACACCCCCCCCATCAGATGGCAGCAGGTCTGTTTTTTGCAGAAGTAAACCAGAAAGAAATGTCCTGAGGCTGAGCCTGACCGTTTTCCCTCTTCAGGCAAATATGGTTCAGGAGAGCAAATTTTTACTATCATTTTTTAAAAAATAGAAATCTCTGAATCTGTAACTTTCTATCTACAGAACCTGCTTGGGTTCTGTGATTCTTTTTCTTTTTTTGGAGAGATTTTTGAGAGAGACAGAGACAGAAAGTGAGAAATCACCCCCCCAGGGGGGATGGGTCACGCCGCAATCCCTTCTCCATCCTCCTCTCGGGATCTTGGGCACGCACGCACATGCGCCTGGCATGAGTTTTAAGCCACTGGGTCCGGGACGCGAACCACGGTCAGCTACGTGGGAGTCCAGCGACATAGCCATTACGCTAACTGCTGGTTCCCCCTCCTTTCCTTTGATAGAGGCCTTCGTCCAAAGGTGTGTATATGTTGGTGCCCGGGACCCAGCGGGTTCCTGGACAGCGCCGGTGTTGGGAATGTGTGTCCTTGTAAGAATCAAGTGCTTTTTCTTAGTTCAGGAAAAGAATGAATGTGCTTCTAAGTGGTGTGGTTTAGGCTCGAGAAGGCATCCTCCTGCCAGCCTTTGAAGGAGGGCGCGGGAGACACAGGTATTTTCCGGACAGCGCCCTCGATCGGGACCGCGGGGCCATGGCGGCGGGGCCAGGAGCCACCCCTGAGAGGCCCGGGCGCTGGAGCCAGGGGAGCAGCCCTGAAGCTCGAAAAAGGGATCCGCGGGCGCAGGACCTCTCTCCGCGCCCCGAGGGCCTGGAGAGCAGCAGCGCCGCCGCCCGCACTCCGCGGCGGGGTGACTGTCGCG